AGTGCATGAGGGAAGGGTGAGAGCATGGTGAATGGAAGTGTGAGTTCGTGCGACAGTGAATGGGTGAGAGCGTGCCTAAGTGCAAGGATGAGTGGGTGATCGAGTGTGAGTAATGGCTGATTGCGAGAATGAGTGCGTAATTGAGTATGTGGATGACTGCGCGAGTGCATCCTGTTGGGTGCAAATGCACATTGCACGACATCCTGCCGTCTGTTTGTACGAGTATGCGTGTGCGAATGCATTTGCGTGTGAATGGTGTGTTCGTGTGTTTGTTTGCTTTCGCATTTTTCGCTTGATGCATTTGCAGGTACTCGCGCAATGTGCGCTTCGGCACAACATTGTACGCGCTATGAACAGTGCAAGCAGAAAGGACGAGCTCGCAAAGGAACCCAAGATGGAAGCTTTGCGGTTCGGTTGAGTTGATTGTGCAGATTCAGTTCTATCCAACTCGGAATTGTACTGTTTTGTTTGGTTAACTATAGTGTAGCAGGGAAGGCACTATAGGGGTACAATTTAGGTGAAGGTTGGATGTTGTTTGTCTGTATCTGCATGCTACAAGGCCAGGGGAAACCAGCGGAACCAGCATTTGGCTGGTTGGGCAAAGACAAAACAGGTTCTGTTTTTAGAACCTGAACCTGGTTGTTGTTTTCCCAGGTTGGAAAAACAGAACCAGAGGTTGTTTACCAACCTACCACCTGCTATTTTGTCCAGCCAGGTTGGTTCTGTTGCTTGGAATTATTCGGGATCATCCCTGGTTGTTCCCAGGTTGATTCCCAAGGTCCTTGCTAGCTAGAACTATTTAATCCTTCTCTGTTTGTACCTGAACATAGTCAAATTGATTCAAGCGAATTCCTTCCTCGCTGGAATTTCATTTCTACGCGGTTCGACAGCGGAATGCTACCCGAGTCAACGCTAGTATGCTAGCACTCCAACGCTAGGCAAACGCTGTCCGAGCCAGAACTTAGTAATGGCAGAACTTTTCGCGAGGCAACTTGGCTCATTTTAAAGCTCTTGGAGCGAGCTTCGATATAGCGAATTCTCAGCTTAATCCGATCGACGGTCTGCACGGCACGCTGCGCGACGTTCAAGGTACTCTTGCTGTTTTGACTAAGTCCTTCTTGATCCCTCTCTCTACAAACTCGGACCCGAGGATAGGGGCTGGTCTTATACCAGGCACCCAGGGACCCTTGGAGGTGACCCCGAGGAGAGGTTTTAAGTTTGATTAAGTCCTAATAGCTTGAGTTTATTAGGCCCTTACACCAACACATCCGTGTGTGAGTGCTTGAATGCATGGTTGGGTGCATGGGTGTGTGAGCAAGAGGGTGAATGACTTAAAGCGCTGCTGGGTGAGTGCGTAGCTGAGTGTGAGAGTCAATGCGTGACTGAGCAAATGAGTGCGTGGCTGAGCAAGTGAGTGCGTGGCTGATTGCAAAGGCGAGCTACCGAGTGAGTATGGGAGTGAGTGCGTAAGTGCGAGGGTGAGTGCATGGTTGAGTGCAAGATGAGTGAATGGCTGAGCGTGTGAGGGAAGGTGTGCCAATATACGTGAGGGATGGTGTGCCAAATTGCGTGAGGCAAGGCATGCCAAAGTGTGTGAGGGAAGGCGTGCCAAAGTGCGTGAAGGAAGGCATGCCGTAGTGCGTGAGGGATTTCGTGCCAAAGTGCGTGGGGGAAGGCGTGCCAAAGTGCGTGAGGGAAGGCATGCCAAAGTGCGTGGAGGAAGGCGTGTCAAAGTGCGTGAGCCAAAGTGCGTGAGGGAAGGCATGCCAAAGTGCATGATCCAAAGTGCGTGAGGGAAGGTGTGCCAAAATGCGTGAACCAAAGTGCGTGAGGGAAGGCGTGCCAAAGTGCGCGAGGGAAGGCATGCCAAAGTGCGTGATGGAAGGCGTGCAGAAGTGCATGGGTGAATGCTTAGGTGAATGAGTGTTGAGCCGAGTGCGTGGCTGAGTGAGTGAGTGAGTTCGTGGGTGATTGGAAAGGTGAGTAAGAGGGTGAATGCGTGAGTAGGTGCTTGAACGGGATGGTAAATGCGAGGGTGAGTGCGCGAGTCAGTGTGTGGCTGAGTGCAAGAGTTAACGTAAGTGTATAGTTGAGTGAGGGGGCAATCACGTGATCGAGTGTATGAGTGAGTGTGTGGGTGGGTATGGGGGTCGGTGTTTGAGTGATGGAAAGGGTGAATGTATGGTTGAGTGAGTGAGCGTGCGCGCTTTGTGAGTGCGAGGGTGAGTTACCAGGTGAGTGCGAGTGTGTGTGCATGACTAATTGCTTGTTTGAGTGCTTGGCTGTGGGAAGCAACGATAATGAGCTTGTGTGTACACTATCACTTCTATGATTCCATTCTCATTTTTGGTTCCTTTTTTTTCGTGTTCTTTTCGCCCCACTTTTGCTTCCCAATGGCAGTGATTATTGTGGCTATTCGTATGAAAGACGTTAAGTTTCGTGTCTTTCGCACAACATTTTTTCAAGATAACAACTTCATCCTCAAGCTTAATCTTCACAGGCGAGATTGCTGCTGGTGAGTTTGAAAAGCCATATCGTTTGATTAAGGTGAACATCGAATCTGATGGCAATTGTTTGTATCAAAGCATGTTCATGTACCTTTACAATACACAAAATAGGTATCAAGAAGTTAAACTTGCAGTGCTGCTTCATGTTGTTGATGATTGGGCTAATTCCGATTATCTGTATCCTGATCAAGCAAGTGTTGCACATGAGCACGAATTTAGAACCGCTGAAGAAACTTACTTCCTGTTTCACCCGATCGTGTTTGGGGGTCTATCAATGAGGTGAATGCGTTAGCTAAGGTGTTCAACACTACATCAATCACCTAGCTAAATACGACCCATTTTGTTGCTCGTTTTACTCCCGATCAAGGTACGTCGTCCGAGCGAGTGATGCATTTGCATTTTGAGAACAAGAGAAGCAACGGTCATGAGAAGCAAGGGACATGAGAAGCAAGGGACATGAGAACAGGGACATGAAACGCAAGGGACATGTCAAGTGATGGACATGTCAGGTGAGAGACATGAGAGGCGAGCGACGTGTGAAGCGAGGAATATGAGAGACGAGGAACATGTGAAGGCAAGGTTCGCGGCAACAAGGAACAATTCATAAGGTTGGGTGTAGAGATGCTTACGAGGCTGGGATCAATAGCAAGCGCGGCAAGGGAGAGTGAGAGCAACAACGGGCCTTAGAAGATAAGGGGCACTTCACGAAAGCTCTGCAGCAAGAGACGGATGACCAAACGAAGGGGATAGGATGGATGGGAGATGGGAGTGGATAACATGAGCAGCTTTACTAGTAGTAAAGCCCGTGGGCACTTGAAGCGCAAACAAGATGGTCCGACCTAGTATAGGGGCATGAGAGCCACCAACGATCAAAGCACCAAGGCGCCAGATTTCATGGCACCAAGGCGCAATCTTTCAAGGCGCCATGGCGCCAGCGAACAAGGTGCCATGGCGCCAGCGAACAAGGAGCCAGCGAACAAGGCGCCATGGCGCCTGCGAACAAGGCACCATAGCGCCTGCGAACAAGGCGCCATGGCGCCTGCGAACAAGGCGCCATGGCGCCAGCAAACAAGGCGCCATGGCGCCAGCGAACAAGGGGCCATGGCGCCACCGAACAAGGCGCCAAGGCGCCAGCGAACAAGGCGCCATGGCGCCAGCGAACAAGGCGCCATGGCGCCAGCGAACAAGGCGCCATGGCGCCAAAGAACAAGGCGTCATGGCGTCAGCGAACAAGACGCCATGGCGCCAGAGAACAAGGCGCCATGGCGCCAGCGAACAAGGCGCCATGGCGCCAGCGAACAAGGCATCAGGCGTCAGCCTTCGAGGCGCCAAGCGCCCTGCTAAGGCTGATAGCACCTACCGGAGCAACTGATGAAGTGCGGCAGTGGGAGTAGAGACTATTGCTCTGTCAATGTTGAACAATCTTGCTAGAATCAAGGAACTTGTGATTAAAATCAAGAATCGAGAAGCAAGCAACTTGTGATTTACAGATGACTGAAACAAGAAATGCAGAAGCATTGCTTGAATGATGTTCTACTTCGATAATTCGAGTGGGCATCGAAAGAGCAAGAAAGATGCGCTTCTTGAAAAAAATGCGCTTCGGAACATGTGCAAGAAACATCATGCGATCTGGAGAAACACGAGGAAGTATACTAGGAACCAGCGCCAGCAATAACGCGGAGTCAGCATGTGTGCGCACGTGAAATCAGCTGACTCAGCTCCATTTCATGCGAAGTTTGTGCCAGCTTCAGAAAGTGGAAAACTAAACGCACGTTCCCCGTAATAGTAGAGTCGTAAATCTCTTATCTAATAGTACATGCTTATATTCTTCACTCAAAGTTCCACATGATTTATAGTGTGAGATAAAAACAAAAATACAATACATATGTAAAATAAAACTTAATGGAAAAAAAGCATTATATGCACAACTGCGTTGCATTTATCTTGAGTATGGTATTCATGACGCGGTAAAAATGGACAATTTATCGTCAGTTGCTACTGTACAGGTTGCTTACCATGTCTACAACGCAACCCTTACGACGTTCATCGTCGATCCTTGTTCTCTCTTGCTTGTGACTGGTCTTGTGACCTTAGGTTGCGTTTTGTTGCTTGGCATTCCCCACTTAGGCTATGGGGGTGTGTCAAATGTTATAGCCTCTAAAGGGTTATGCTATATGGGGTACAAACAGTTGGGATTAGGTATTTGTACCCCAACCCAATCAATCATACTAATTCTTGTTTTTTCAGTTCGTGAGATGTACTCTCTTATCATCATCTTGTTCTCTTTCAACCATTGTATAACAAGGTCACTACAGGACTTTATTCTCTCCTCCTAGATTCAGCAGGCTTATCCTATTCACTTGATCCTTCGGTTATATCAGCAACATCAAGCGTCTCTAATCTTCCACATCATGCATTATTCCACGCATATTACAATTCATCTACCAATAGGTACTTGTGATTAAAATCTATACATTCATAGGGAAACAAATTTCAGAGGCCGCATGCCAGGTGAATCCCTTCATACCCAACGTGCCAAGCTTTGCGATCACCATCCGTCCCTATGAATGGGGACGAAGCATACAAAATCGAAAGAATGGCAGGGGGGCGAAGTGGAGAAAGGCAGGGGCTAAGGGAGGTGAGAAGAAGGCAAGGAAGGGAGAGAAGGACAGGGGGATAGGGGGAGAAGGGCATGGGGAAAGGGAGAGCAGGACAGGGGGAAAAAGGGGAGAAGGACAGGGCGAAAGGGGGTTGAGAAGAAGGGACCGGAAGGGAGAGAAGGGCAAGGGGAAAGGGGGAGAACGGCATGGGGAAAGGGAGAGGACGGGGGGAAAAAGGGGAGAAGGACAGAGGGAAAGCGAGTTGTGGGCATGGGGAAAGGGAGAGGACAAGGGAAAAGGGGGAGAAGGACAGGGGGAAAGGGAGCTGAGAAGAAGGCAAGTAAAGGGAGAGAATGAGGGTGGAGAGCGGTAGAAGGGCACAAACGGAGAGAAGGACACGGGAAAAAAGGGAAGGAGAGGGGTAAAGGGCGTTGAGAAGAAGGGAACTGAAAGGAAGAGAAGGACACGGGGAAAGGGAGTGAACGGCATGGGGAAAGGGAGAGAAGGAAAGGGGGGAAAGGGCAGAAAGATAAGGGGGAAGGAGAGAAGGACAGGGGGATAGGGGGAAAATGGCATGGGGAACGGGAGAGTAGGAGGGGGAAAAAGGGGAGAAGGACAAGGGGAAAGGGGGTTGAGAAGAAGGGACTGGAAGGGAGAGAAGGACAAGGGGAACAGGGGAGTAGGACAGGGGGAAAGGAGGAAAGCGACAGGGGGGAAGGGAGCTGAGAGGAAGGGAACGGAAGGGAGAGAAGTACAGGGGGGAAGGGAGGGGAGGACAGGTGGAAAGGGGGAGAAGGACAGGGGGAAAGGAGGAGAAGGACAAGGGGAAAGGAGCTGAGAAGAACAGGAGGAAAGGGAGGGAATGACAGGGGGAAAGGGGGAGAAGGACAGGGGGGAAGGAGAAGAAGGACAGGGGAAAAGGAGCTTAGAATAACAAGAGGGAAGGGAGAGAAGGGCAGGGGGAAAGGGGGAGAAGGACAGGGGAAATGACTGAATAGTGGGAAAGTTGTGGGAACGGGAGAAAGGGAAAGGATTAGTTTAGGAATCGGGAATGAAGAGGCGTGAAACCAAAGGTGCGGCATATTTAGATGTGCCATGGGGGATGGTGGCAGGGGGGAATGCCCTGGAACAAACAAGGGGTGCAGCGATGGATGGGGAGTGCTTCACAGAGAGGGTTGGGTGAGGGGGCAAGGGGACGAATGGGTGCAGGGGGAAGCAGCGGGGGGGCCTGAATAGTGAATAGTGCTTTGACATGCCGTCACGTCAACCGCCACCGCCGCTTGCCATAGCTGCTCGGTATTGTCCCGCACCACCGTCGTCGCATCAGCCCGTGTTAGTCGCTGCTGCTTGGACAGGCATAGCGTGCTGGATGAGACATAACGGGGACGAGAAAGCGCAAATGTTCGAGCTAAACATCAAGAGAAGATGAACTACTCAAAATTACTCAAACTCCGCATTTTCTCACGACTTAACTAGGACAGGAATGGGATAGGACATGGGGGAGGAGAAAGCGACAAGGGGAATGGGATAGGACAGGGGAGGGACAGGAGAGGAGGGAAAGGGATGGCCAGGAGAAGGGTGAATGGTGGGACAGGATAGTGGGAACAAGAAGGGATGTGAGAGAGGGAAAAAAAGGGTTCAGGAAAGGGAAACGAGCAGGAAAAGCAGCGACGGTAGTGGGGGAAAATGGACGAATGGGGTCAAGGGGATGGATACGAGCAGGGTGAAGCAGTGGGTTGGGAGAGGTGAAAGGAGGGAAGGAGAAGAAAGGGAAGGAAAGATAGGGGGACAGGGCAGAAACGACAACGGGGAGGGTTAAGCATCAGGAAAACGAAAACGATGAAAGGAAGGGAAGGACTAAGGGGAAAAAGAGAGCATGATAGCGGGAAAGGGTAGGAAGGACATGGAGGAAAGGAGGGAAGGACAGGGGGAAAGAGACAGAAGGAGTAGGGGAATGGGAGAGAAGGACAGGGGCCTATAGGATGATCCCGCCTCGCCCGCCACTCGCTAACGCTCGACACCGCTCGCCACTGTCGCGCCGCTGCTCGCCACCGTCACGCGTGCAACTAGGCGTCGCATCTACGACCATGGCGTCTCGTGACCGATAGTCGCGCTCGACCCCAGGCGATGCTTGCCACAGTCGCACCCATTCCGACCATCGAAAGCTGCTCTTCCCACCCTTTCCCTGTCCTTCTCCCCCATTCCGGCCCTGTACACATTAGCGTGCCGTTTCTTGCCGCCATTGCGTTTGCCACACACATCCCTTGCCTTAGCCGCATCGCTTCCAATATCGTTCGCTAAGGCCGCTTGCCAGGTTTGGGCGCGAGATGCTTCGCCACCAACAGATGCTCCGCCCCGCTTCTCGCTAACGACACCCCGCTTCTCGCTAACGACACCCCGCTTCTCGCTAACGACACCCCGCTTCTCGCTAACGACACCCCGCTGCAAGCTAACGCCGCCCCGCTGCTAGCTACTGTCGTCAGTGGTGCTCACTATCGTCATTGCACTGCTGTCGCCATGCTGCTCGCAGCCGTCGCAACCCTGCTCGCTACCGTCGCCGCTCTGCTGCCTATCGTCGCCCGCAATGGTGCTAAAATCTTCTTTTATGCAGCGCGCGTTGACGATGATGCCACGCGTATTAATTTACGTGGTATCGCTTCTTCGACGAGCGACTCTGGAGTGGTGGCGACGCACCTTGGACACGGGGACCTCGACAGGTGTGACACATGCGGCAGACGGGACTTCAACGTCGGTTAATCAAGTGGCAGCACCGATATTCGGCGTGACCAAGATACGCACGTGGAAGGAGTGGGGCGCAGCCTTACGAGATCGCTTCGAGCACATATCCGGCTCGGAACAAGCTCGCACGAAGTTGCGTACCTGGTCGCAGTTGGCATCTGTCCAAGACTACACAGCGTCATTCATGGCACTCGCCGACCAAGTGGACGATATGTCGGAGGCGGAGCGGTTGGATAAGTACGTCAGCGGCCTTAAATATGAGATACAGTACGAGGTGCGCCGATGCCGCCCGACATCGTTCCTGGAAGCAGCACGGTTGGCAGAATCCACGGACGCGCTGATGCAATACGCGAGGTCGATTTTGGAAGAAACACGGACAGTGCGGATCGAATGCGGCGGCGATTTCCCGCGTCAACGCTGGATGGCTGCGACGTGCTGCTGGGACGTGATTGGCTGCGACGGCACAACCCCGCCATCAACTGGACAACAAAATCGTGCAGCATCAGCAAGCATGAGGGGCTAATTAAATTGCCTGCATGGACACCTGACTACATCCAAGCCCTGTGCGTGAAAGCCATCACTATTGCTCGTCACTTCAACCAAGGCGCGCAACTGTTCGCCGTATGTTTGCGCGAGTTGACAACCGACACCGAAGAAAAAGGACATCGAGTTTGTGCGCAGCTGTACCACCTAATTTAGCAGAGCTGATTCGACAGTACCCGGACATCTTCCCCGACGATCTACCACGTGGACTACCACCCGAACGCCCCGAGGACCACAAAATCCAGCTGGAGCCCGGCGCGCAGGCGACTGTTCGTACACAGTAGCGGTTGACCCAACCGGAACTCGAGGAGCTGCGACGACAAATTGAGGGACTTTTGGAGAAGGGGTTTATTCGACCCAGTACATCTCCCTTCGCAGCCCCGATCCTGTTCACACCGAAAATGGATGGCGGGCTTCGCATGTGTATCGACTATCGCGCGCTCAACCGGGTGCCCATCAAATCTCGCTACCCAATCCCACGCACCAACAAATATCCCGAATATGGCGGGGATAACCGGCCCGCTGACCGACCTGCTGCACAAGGACAGAAATTTTAAGTGGGGGGAGGAAGCTGAGGCGGCTTTTCAGGAGTTGAAGAATTTTCTCGTTTCCCCTCCGGTTTTGCGCATCGCCGACCCATCGAAACCGTTCGAAGTCGTCACCGACGCCTCAGATTTCGCCATCGGAGCTGTACTCCTCCAGGATTTCGGGAACGGGTTGCAGCCGATCACCTACGAATCACGCAAGCTGCAGGCAGTCGAGCGCAAGTACCCGATTCACGACAAGGAGATGCTCGCCATCATTATATACGCGTTCAAACTGTGGCGCTGCTACCTGGTGGGTGCTGACTGTTAAACTATATTATGCTTGTAGGCTGTAGTGGGGTAGCCAATATGGGGTACAACCCCAACTAGGGTTTGCTACTTGTACCCAATTCTTCCATTCAATGCACCATTCTTGCCTAGTGATTCTGATATGGTATTCAGAGCAGGAGGTCCCTAGGACCTACCGATCGTTTTTTTTAGGGCCCACCACCGCTCGCATGCGGTTACCACGCTACCCCGTTCCCTAGCCTCGTAGCGCCCTCGTGCGCCCTCGTTAGCGCCCTCGCGCGCACTCTCGTTAGCGCCCTCGCGCGCCCCTTTGCTAGCGCCCTCGCGCGCCCCTTGCTAGCGCCCTCGCGCGCCCCTTACTAGCGCCCTCGCGCGCCCCTCGCCGAGCCGCCCGCTCGCAGCCCGCCCGCCCGCTCGCTGCCCGCTTCGCGGCCCGCTCGCTACGCAGCCCGCCCGCCCGCTCGCTGCCCGCTTCGCGGCCCGCCCGCTTCGCAGCCCGCCCGCCCGCTCGCTGCCCGCTTCGCGGCCCGCTCCGCGGCCCGCCCGCTTCGCAGCCCGCTCGCTCGCTGCCCGCTTCGCGGCCCGCCACTTCGCAGCCCGCCCGCCCGCTCGCTGCCCGCTTCGCGGCCCGCCCGCCTCGCAGCCCGCTCGCCCCGCTGCCCGCTTCGCGGCCCGCCCACTTCGCAGCCCGCCCGCCCGCTCGCTGCCCACTTCGCGGCCCGCTCGACCCGCTGCCCGCTTCGCAGCCCGCCCGCCCGCCCGCTGCCCGCTTCGCAGCGTCGCCCGCCCACAGTGCTGCCCGCTTGCAGCGCCGCCTGCCCGCCGCGCTACCCGCTTCCCGGCCCGTCCGCCGCGCTGCCCGCTCGCAGCGTCGCCCTCCCGTCGCACTGACCGCTTGCAGCGCCGCCTGCCCGTAGCGCCAGCCTCGCCCGCTGCTCTCTATCCGTGCACAGTCGTCTTCCCCTGCTGCGGCAGCTTGCGTTACTCTGTCACACTGTCGCTATGGCTTCCATTCGCGTGCTGTCGTTCGATGCTGAGGGCCGCCCTGTGCGTTTCACCGCTTGGCTAGATGACCTGCAGCTGTTTCTCCTGAGCGATAGCAAGGAGCATGTGTCGCTCTATGACTACGCGTCTGGTGCTGCGCCTGCCCCTCCTGCCACAGCTGAGCTTAGTGTTCGTTCCCACTGGCAGACTCGTGACGCAGCTGCTCGCCTAGCCATTCGCAGTCACCTGCCGTTAGCTGAGCTAGAGCATTTTGGCGACTGCAAATCCGCTAAGGCCCTGTACGACGCTGTCGTCGCTCGCTACTCCTCGCCTGCCACAGCCGAGCTTAGCCGCCTCATGCTGCCGTACCTGTTCCCCGATCTGTCCACCTTTACTACAGTCGCCGATCTTATCACCCACCTTCGCACTAGTGATGCTCGCCTGCGTGCCGCCCTTCCCACCGAGTTCTGCGCTAAGAACCCCCCTCCACTGTACTGGACACTCCACTTCATAGTCACCCGTCTCCCTGACACCCTCCGCTCAGTTCGAGACCACTTCCTTGCTCGCTGTCCCACTGAGCTCACAGTCGCCCTCCTAGAGGAGCACCTGCTCGCGGCCGAAAAGAGCATTGTGGCTGTCGGTGCTGCTCGTGGCGCTCCTCGCACCCCCATCTTTGAGGGGTGTTCTCCCTCTCCCCTCGCTCCCTCCTACGCTGCTGCTGCTGCTGTTGACTTCCTTGGTGCTGAGTCTGTTGGCGCTGCTTCTACTCCTGGTGGGAGGCGCCGCACCGGCAAGGGCAAGGGGGGCAAAAGTGGTGGTGGTGGCGCTGGTGGGGGAGGAGGTGGGGGAGGTGGGGGGGGAGGCGGTGCTGGAGGGAGCGGTGGCGGGAGCGCTGGTGGGAGTGGGGTCGGTGGTGGAGACGGGGGCGGCGGAGGGAGCAGTGGCAGTAGTGGCGGCGGCGGCGGTGGCGGCGGTGGCGGTGGTGGCGGTGGTGGCGGTGGCGGTCGGAGCGGTGGTAGTGGTGGCGGCGGAGGTCGGAGTGGAGGCACTGGCTCGGGCCAGAGCTCCCAGCAGCAGCAGCGTCCCCAGACGACCCAGCAGCTTCGTGAGTGGCTTGCTCAGCGTGGGACGTCGGGGGCCAGTGCCCGCTGTTCTTATGTCATTCGCACAGGTGACCGCAAGGGACAGACGTGTGGGAGGTTCCACACCCCGTACCGTTGCTTCTCCCGCCTTGACGACGCTTGGCGTGAGGAGATGGGTGCGGATGTTGAGCGCCCCCGCTGGGCTGAGCTCATGAGGGCTGGTGTTGATGTCTTT